TTACTACCGCCTGAGGCAACCCCATGGAGCATGGTGAGAACAACCTCTGACCATCGCCGACCGTTCCTGGAACCACGAGCGCCACCAGCATTGACACCTCCACGTGCCAGTCCGTCTTCTCCTAACAAGAGCGACGCCAACCTTGATCTCGGCCGAAAGGACGGACCCCGCCACTGCCGGCGCCGTCAGCACGACTCGCCGGCAATCACTCGGATCTTTCGCCTCCCTCCGCGCCGGCTCACCCGCATCTCGCCTGCAGCCATCCCGGCTTACCCCCTCCCGCCCCTCGCACCAACTTTCCAACGCTACACCGCAAAGGGCAGCTGCGAAGCGCGATCGCCCCCTTCACCGACCATCGGGTGCCGACATTGCCGCCAAGCCATCGTCGACATTGGCGATCTTGACATCCGTTTGGCTCCCCGGATCACACCGACCAGGGAGCCATTGCGCGCGCAGCCGTCCATCGGCCGTGCCGCCATCCGAATGTAATACGCAATGCTGAGGGCGGCGATGACGTGAGGACCGAGTAATGTCATGGCGGGTTTGGCGGGGAGGATCACGGCATTCTTCGAGTATAAGTACGGCCTTGGCGTCCTACCCTCGACTGATATTGGGTTCATCGACTTACAGGCTTCTTCCCCGTTCAAGATGCATCTCAGCCTTCTTTTGACCTTTGGGGTCGTGGCCCAGGCCGCCTTCAACAAAGGAGCCATCAACGCATTCTCCCGCGAACGCCCCCGCCGTCATGACCAGATCCGATACCCGGCCATGCCGGACATCTCCCTGGAGAAGAGGGAGGCATCGCGCTTCCTCACGGAGAGCACCAGCAAGTTCATAGTCAACGGCACCGGCATCCCGGACGTACCGTTCGACATTGGCGAGTCTTACGCCGGCCTACTGCCCATCTCCCAGGCCGAGGACGAGGAGAGGCAGCTCTTCTTCTGGTTCTTCCCCTCGACGAACCCTCATGCCGGGGACGAAGTAGTCATCTGGTAGGGCGCACCTCTGCAAAACCTAGAGCGGTGACTGACATCTCGCAGGCTCAACGGAGGTCCAGGATGTAGCTCACTCAGTGGCATGCTCACTGAGAACGGCCCCTTCCTGTGGCAGCAGGGCACCCTCGCTCCCACGCCAAACTCGTACAGCTGGACGAATCTGTGAGTATGACCACTCGGCACACATATTCACCCACTGACAGCCCAGTACAAACGTCATCTGGATCGAGCAGCCCGTCGGCGTCGGCTTCAGCCAGGGCACCCCCAACATCACCAATGAAGTCGAGCTCGCCCAACAGTTCACTGGCTTTTGGCGCAACTTCATCACCACCTTCGACCTCAAAGGCGCCACGACTTACATCACGGGCGAGTCCTACGCCGGCTTTTACGTCCCCTACATCGCCGACGCCTTCATCGCGGCCGATGACGATGACTACTTCAAGCTCGGCGGCGTCGCCATCAACGATCCCCTCATCGGCGACTCGACTCTGCAGCAGCAGGCTGTCATTCTCCCCTTCATCGAGTACTGGCAGAACCTCTTCTACATCAACGAGACGTACATGGACGCCCTCCGCTGGACGCACGAGTACTGCAACTATTCGACCTACCTCGAAACGTACGGCACATTCCCGCCGCCCGAGGGTCCATTCCCTGTTCTCCCGGATCCGTACCTTGATGAGTCGGGAAACTACACCTGCGACATGTTTGACTACGCGTATGCTGCCGCCCTTGAAGTCAATCCGTGCTTCAACATCTACCACATAACCGATGTAAGTGCCCCCCCCCCCCCCCCCCCCCCCCCCCTTCGCCAAACGATGAGGAATGCTGACTTTATAGACCTGCCCATTCACCTACTCCCAGCTCGGCATAGTCAATCAGGTATGTCCCCTCTCAGCAAGCAAGCTTATTCACCCCTCCTGACATCCCCAGGGCGACTTCTCTCCCCCCGGCGCCCAGGTCTACTTCAACCGCACCGACGTCCAAGACGCAATCAATGCCCCCCGCACCAACTGGGCACAGTGCACGCGCAACAACGTCTTTGGGCAGGGCGATCCAAACTCCAACTCAAGCGACACCTCCCTTGCGCCTGCGCAGACCGACGTCCTCCGTCGCGTCATTGAGCACACGAACAATACTTTCATTGGCGTTGGTCGCCTCGACTACATCCTCCCGCCCAACGGCACCCTCTTCGCCCTGCAGAACGCCACGTGGCACGGCCTCCAGGGCTTCCAGAGCTATCCCCAGGACAAAGCTTTCCTCGTTCCCTTCCACAAGGAGTACAACGGCGGCCGGCTGAGTGAGTCTGGAATCGTGGGACAGTGGGGCCGCGAGCGTGGCTTGACGTACTATGAGGTGCAGCTAGCTGGTCATGAGTTGCCGGGGTACTCGGCTGGGTCTGGATATCGTATTTTGGAGGCGTTGCTGGGACGCGTGGCGGATTTGGGAGTTGATGAGCCATTCACGACGCAGAAGGGGGGATGTAACTCCACGAGGAGAGTCTAGTGTTGTGGGACGACTCGAAGCTACTTCCTTCATAATGATCTGTCTATTTATCCCCATATCTGGATGAGTGAACCAAACCTAGGGGTTCCGTTCTCACTCAAACGGCACCTCCACCTCATCGGCTCCAACCAAGCCAAACCTCGCAATATCTACTTGACCCGACACATCCAGATACAGGAATTGCCTACCGGACGAGGCACCGAGCGTCGTGTTGACAAAGACCGTCTCGAACTTCTCACCAGCCGGCACGCGGTACTCAGCCACGACGGCCGACATGTTCCTGACAACAAGGTCCACGCCATTAGCAGACAGCGCCTCAAGGCGGATGACGGGCTTCTGCAGCACGTTCCAGAATAGCGGGTACGCGAGAGTGGCGTTGCTCTCGATGACGGCAATGTCCGGCGCCGTGCCGTTCCTCGCCCGCCCCTCGACAGTCTCCCCGTCCTCCGAAAGGCGCCTTGACGCCTCACCCGAGATGACGTCCAGGTAAGCAGCGCCGTAGCCCGCGTCTCGCGAGAAGTTGAGGTCTTCAAAGTTGCCCTCCTTGGCGTAGATGAGGGTGTCGAGGCCGAGGGTCTGTGTCTCGATATAAGTCGTCAGGTATCGCAGACGATCGGGCACCAGCTCGCGGAAGCGGTAGTATGCAGCCGTCGGGGACCACAGCGCGCCCGAATCAGTGGGATGTTGCATGGTTCGGAACGGCATGCCGCGGTCCGAGGTGTTGGCGACGCGATCGTAGATCTTTCCGGCGGGTTCATTGATCCAACGCTCTTGCCAAGGGACGTCGTGGCCGAGGTTGTAGCGAGCAAAGTACTCAAAGCCAGCGAGAAGGCGGTAGTCGTCAAAGGAGAACATGTCGACATACTCGATGCGTCCTTCCAGATCGCCCTGGATGTCCGCGGTGTAGGCCATATCGGCGAAGATCTTGAGGGTGCCGGCGGGGTGGACCTGGTCGCGTCCCATCTCTGTGATCTGGCCGTACGCCTTCGAGTCGTTGGAGATCATGCGGCGGATGGAGTAGTCGATGTGCGGAAGCGGATTCGCGCCGACAGTGGCTTGGAAAACCATCTGTCGGAAGAGATCTGCATCCTCGATAAAGACGGCCATGGCCATGGCGCCGCCGTTGGCGTAAGCGCCCTGGTTGAAGAAGAGGTCTGGCCGGGCCATGCCGTTGGTACTGTCCCAGTTTGCGCGCACGCGGGCGGCGAAATCGTGATAGAGCTTAGTGTCGGCATCAGTCCAGACGGAGGACTTTGTCGAGCGGAGGATCTCGCAGGCGGCGGTGAGGTAGCGCAGGCCAGCACCGCCGCGGATATACTCCTCCAGAAGATCGAGGGTGGTCAGCCACCGGCGCACAGCATGTAGGGCGCGCTGGCGGTGGAAGGGGTGGCCGGTGACAAAGTATGCGACGGTGTTGAGGTATGCGTACTGGGCATCAACAGTAAAATTCGATGACCAGGCGTCCTCGCCAAAGGGGAGTGCCGGCAGGGGCCCACGGATATGGTAGGCTCCGACGTTGGGCACATCCAAGCCGACGAGGGACTGGTTGAAGGCGCGGCCGAAGGCTGTTGTCCATGGCTCCTCGCCGGCCCAGACCTTTGTCTGCATCCGGACGAGGTCTTCGCACGTGTGGAAGATGCCGGGGTGTCTGAAGCCGCCTGAGATGGTCTCATTGCACTCGGGCTTCGCGACGAGCTTGTAGTTGACACCGGCGAGGACGAGGGGCAGAGACGCCGCCAGCGTGAGGAAATGCAGACGCATGATGGGATGTTGAAGGCCAGGGGCCGATTCAGGGAGTAAGGCGGAGAGGGCTGCGAGGGGTGAGAGTCCAGGTACTTCACATCATGATGGGTGCAGTACCTTCTCCGGGTCTTTATACTACATCTTAAGTAGCGCTATTCTACCCATGATTCCCCGTGGGGAACACTGGAGAATTGTGATGTCGGCGGTGAGGTTGGGGCTCGATGCTGCCCGAGAGATGCCCCGAGGGTCCGAGTCCCGAGAAGTTGCCTCTCCATCCAAGCCGCCGGCCCCGGTCCGGAGTGAGGGGTACGGGGAAAGATCATTTGGAGACGACTGCGGAGAAGACTTGGCCTGCTGTTGTGTGAAAAAGAATTAAGGTTCTCCAGCAATGGTGGCCGAGGGGGCTTTGAGGTTAAAGTCTGTAGCCATCTGTCGGGATAGAAGACCTTGCATTTGTATCAAAGAAAAATATGTTTCATCCTGAGCTTTCCAGCCGATCGCTATGCTTCACAATTCATGCTTGACGTTGCTTTTTTCCTCTCTCGAGTAGGGGCACGTAAAACCGCAAAGAACCTTGCAACATCTTGGTCGGTCTCGGAAGCATCCCCGACAGTACCACCGAGACCACTCCCCCACTGATTATCCCCGTATCCTACTTTCTGGGCCAGAAAACATCGCGTTCGGCTTTACCCCGCGATCGGCATTGGGAGAAATGCCGGCTCAGTCGCCGGACATTTCCCCCCCAAAAAAGCAAAAAGATGACCACGCGCGGTTTCGATCCACGGGCCTTTGTGGCTCTCACAGAATGTGAGCACAACGCGCTTCCACTGCGCCACGCAGTCATTGGATGAATACTCAACGTGTTTCCACACACATATCAGCAGGCACTTAAAGTAGGCAAATATGATCATATTGCAAAGCACCGACTCTAATCTATCGCCTTAGGGAACGACTGAGAATGAATATTTACAGAAGATACCGCCAGCCAGGATCCAGATCCAGCTTTTTCATTCTTCAAAAGTTGTTTAGCACGAGGCGCCCGAGGGGATGCCGGTGCACTTGGTCGAGGCCTTGCCGCCGGTGACCTTGTTGCCGGTCCAGGTCCACTTGGAGCACGAGGCGCAGAGGATGTAGACGTTGGTACCAGAGCTCTTAACAGTACCAGTAACGCGGTCGATGGTGACGTCGGTGATGGGGACGCCGGAGGTGGGCTTTCCGGTAGGCGAGCCGTTCTGGTAGTCCTGCTCGATGACGATTCCGTACTTGGCAATGTTGGTCAGGCCGATGTTGGAGTACTTGACGTCGGAAACGGAGCCGGTCGCGCCCGAGACGGTCTTGATACGAACGCCGTTGTCGGAGTTGGAGATCTTGGAGTCGAGGATGCGGACGGTCTTGACGACGTTGTTGGAACGGCCGCCAACGGAGCCGATGGACAGACCGTGGCCTCCGGAGCAGTTGCCGCCGGTGAAGGTGATGTTGGTACCGGAGTTAATAGCCAGGCAGTCATCCTGGTTCTTCACGATGGCACCGGAGATGTACTGGGAGAGTTAGTGCGTGGACATATTCGGGAGACGCAAGATCACTTACAACGCCGGTGGAGGAGCCAACATCGAAAGCATCAGTGTTGTGGCCGCCCTTGGTGTCGCCGAGGGAGTTGTCAAGGTTGACGTTGTAAACACCCAGGTTGGTGACCGAGTTGATGCTGAAGGCCTGGACGGGGGTGTTCAGGACGTTGAGTCCCTTGATGTTGGAGTTGGTCAGGGAGTGGGCGGCGAAAAACTTGGGCTTGGTCTTGCCGCCGTTGCTGCCCTTGGTGTCCCACCAGCGCTGGCCCTCGCAGTCGATGGAGTGGCCCGAGGCGCCGTCGATGAGGATGTTGCTGCCGCTGATGGAGATGAGGGGGCCCTCCCACTCCTTGTAGCCGAAGGTGGTCTTGCCCGAGAAGGTGACGTGGGTGCCGGCCTTGAGCTTGGTCAGGTCGAGGGTGGTGCCGGCGGGGACGGCGATGTCCTTGAGCACGATGCTGGTGCAGCTAGCCTTCTGCTTGATGGCGGTGGCGGCGTCGGTGAAGGTGCAGCCGGCGCGGGCGTCGAGAATGGGCGAGGCCACGGCGGCGGAGCCGAGGGCGGCGAGGACGAGGAACTTGGAGACCATGGTGATTGTTTGGGGGGTGGTGTTATGTAGTTGTGGCGGTGAAATATGTATGGACGAAGTGGACTTGATGTCGAGAAAGAAGAGCTGCTGTCACTGACGAGCGGTAGAAAGACGATGAGTTGGAAAAGAGAGTGTGTGAGAGAGAGATGGTGATCCTGAGTGTTGATGATGATCTCTTGGCATCTGGGGAGGGCTGCAGAGCCAAGCCCTTTTATCGACGATCTCCCGACCTGGGCGTCCGGGACATCACCACTTTCAAAGTTCGCCGGCCGGGGTGCAGCCATCGTGAGCTGGGGTGCAGGCACCACGGCACCGGTGCAGGCCCATCCCGCACGCTACGATATTCAGATAGATGATTGATGGACCTCGTCGAGGCCATCACCCCCGGGGCCATGCCTCTTCGGTGCGCCGTCCGCGGACGAGAGTCGTCGTCACCGGCCTCCCTGCAATTTACACGGGCAGACGGGCAGACCCTCAATGGAAAAAGCCCACGAATGGAACGACCACCAAGCGGCCATGTGCGCAGAGGAGCGTGCTCTTGAACGCAGAGCCCGCGGTGCCGACAGCCCGGAGCGGCGGGGCCATCAGCGGCAATATCCCTGCATGAACGTTGCCGAGTCCCGGACGAACAGGGGTTCGGCGGGATGGTGGTGAGGTCGGCGGCGGGCTGGACCGCTGGGGAAACTGTTCAAGGCCTGCTGCTTTGGGGCAAAGGAGTCCTGACAGCAGCACCATCCCTGTTCTTCCCCTGACTCGAGACCGCACGGTCGCTCGCCCGTCATCCGGTCTACGCGGACTCATAAAGGCGATACAGGGGAGGACGATGCGTTTAGCGCACGGGGCGAGGGAAACGCCAGGACAGATCAGGCCCAGCTCGTCAGTGAGATAAGATGCTTGAAAGGGGTGGGAGATTTGGTCTTCGTCGAGTCGTCGGGTTACGGTCCGGCCGAGTGCGGAAGGTCAGGGGTCAGGGGTACATGGTGGCGGGAGAAGATGGCTCAATAGAGTGCGACTGACGCGTTCAAGGCTAGCACGGCACGTAGCGGCAGTCGAAGCATGGGGAATGTTCTGCTCATACGAAATGCCGCTGCAGCAACGTGCTCTCACGGGACCCTGATGTCGTGCCCGGAGGAATCGAGGACGATAGAGCCCACCAACCGGCTCCTGCCGCAGCGCCATGCCGCCGGACTATGCGAGTAATGCTGTCTTTAATTCGTCTCGATCGGGCAATGATACGATCAGGAAGAAGGGCTACAAGGCTTAAAGGCCGAAAAGGGGCGCGGAGGACGCTGGAGTATCGCCGGAGATTCGCTCGGAACTACTGTTATCACGGGGCGTGACCGGTGGGTTGAGGACGGGGTCCGGGAGAAGTCACGCCATCAGCCTGGACCCTTCGTATCTTGCAACATCTCTTCATGACTAGGTAGGTAGCTGTACCGAGAGACTGCCCATCCCCCTCTTCCCAGACTTACACCCCCTTCTCCTCCCCCTCGCCCTCTGCCTCGAAGATCTGCGCTTTCGCTTTCGCAAACTTCCTCGTCGGCGTGCGGTTCGCAAACAGCCAGTCAAGCTCCTCAAACGTCCGTCCCTTGGACTCGGGAAGCCTGAAGAACGCCCAGACAAAGACCATGAACGCCGTCGCGCCCCAGATGAAGCCCGTGTACCCGCGCAGATTAAGCTCTCTCGGGTTCATAAAGTACGGCTGAATCACCTGCGAGATCATGGCCACGATGTAATACGAGTTGCGCGCCAGCACAATCGTCTTCTGTCGCAGGCGCGTGGACCCAATCTCGGAAGGGATCGCCCAGCCCAGCTGGCCGATGGAGAGCTGGAAGACGAACGTCCATGCGAGAGTGAGAACTGCCTGGGTGTAGCCGATGGAGTCGCTCGTGCGCCAGACGTTGAGGATGCCGATGAGGATGAGAATGGCGGACAGGGATGAGATACCGAGGAGGTAGATGCGGCGGCGGCCGAAGTAGGGGAGGAGAGCGAACCAGCTGATGATCGTACCGACGAGGGCGAGGGCAGTGCCTCCGGTGTTGAGGTAGTATGTCTGTCGCGTCCCGAGGCCGACCTGCTGGAAGAAGTACTGGGCTTGTTAGCTGTGCTATTCGTGACAGATGGACCAAGAGTACTTACTGTAGAGTTGTACGCAAAGGTCGATCCAGAAAGAACCTGGCCCGCGAACGCCGCACACGCAATCTCAGTCCTGCGCAGCTCCGTGCCGCGGAAGCAGTCCAGGTAGCTCGTGCCAGCGCTCAGCTCGATCTCCGTGTTGTTCGTGTGGATGATCTCCGCCAGCGTCGCCTGGACACTAACCCTCTCCGACGTCGCCGACGCCCTCTGCAGCCTCATCAACGACGCCTCGGCCTCGGCGACCTTGCCAACCCGCACCAGATGCCACAGCGACTCGGGCGCGAAGCTGAGCACCGGGATCAACAGCGCAGGCCACACCCACTGAATCGCAAAAGGAATTCGGTAGCTCCATTCATCCGGCCGAGAAACAAGTCCAGCCAGAACACCAGCGGCGATCAGCTGCCCGATGATGAAGCACATGTTGGTCCAGCTAGTGAAGTACACCCTCAGGCTCAGGGGCAGCACCTCGGAAGCGTAGGCCGGAGCAGACGTGACGAAAACCCCCCAGGGTAGACCAGCCAGGATCTGGCCGACGATGAGCATTATGATGTTCTGGGCGAAGAATGTGATGAAGATGAAAGCTGAGAGAACGACCAGAGCGGCGAGGACGACGCGCTTCTGGCCAAAGCGCGAGACGAGCCAGCCGTTGGCCAGGCCGCCGAAGAAGCACCCGACGATGCTGGCGTTGCCGAGGCCCGCTTGCCATGCTGCCGTGAGCTGGTGCTGGCCATTGTCGTCGACGAATTGGCCGAACTTGCGTGTAAACTCGGGGTAGGCGAAGAAGTTGCCGATGAGGATCGTGTCGTAGCCTTGGACGTGATATGTTAGGTCTGGCATTCGAGATGGGGAAAAGGGGGAGGGTGCTGACCTTCCATGATGACGCACATGGACACCATCAGACTCCAAAAGATGGCCATGGGGTAGGCGCGGATAGCCTCGCGAGGGGAGAGTTGGTGGGCGGCATCGATGGCTTGCTGAGCGCGGGCTTCGATGATGCCATGTGCCTTGCTGGGTGCGCACTCGAGCTGAGCCGCCGTGGCGAGCTGCTCGTCTGTGATCTTGCCAGTGGACATGGCTGTGGCGGGGATGATGATGAGGAGGAGGAGGTAGTGCCCTGAGAAGAGGTGCCTTGGAGAAAGGAAACGATCTAGAGTCCGGGCCGTCCTGGCGTCTTTATAGACCATCCGTCCCAAGACCAAACTCGACGATAATTCTTGTCGGACCGACCGCCATCATCCAAGGCTGCACACCAGCGCTTTTGCCCCGGGATACTCAACCCCAAGAAACATGATCGACAGTCCCGCAGCAGGATTCCGGGGCCCCAGTCCCGTCCGACAACCTCGCCTCCGGATGCCGCCAACCCCAGACCTTCCGCAAGGATGCGGGGTACAGGCGCACGCGAGTCGGGGCGGGAATTTCAAGGTTGCGGCGGACCTCCCGTTGCCATAGTATCCCGTGATTGGCTGCTAGCGAACAAGTCTGATGCTTCCCCGGGGCAAGTATCGCGGGCTAGAGGCCGGGTGGCGGGCCGTGGTTGCAGCGGCGGGCGGCT